TCTCCTCCTGCTGAAATGTAAAAAAGGTCTATAAATGTTTAAGTGTTTTTCTTTTTTCCCTTTGTTGTTGTGTCGGCTCTCTCAGGTCACTACAGACAGCTGGCTCATTACTTCTGTCTGCTCTGCTTTCTACTGACCATCATCATTCTGCTCCAGACTCTCTGCTGTGAGTGCCTCTTTGCATCTATAAAACTCACTGACCAATGGGAATGGGTTACTGAAAAAAGGAGAGGGAGATAATGCGCTGATATACATATAAGACCTTAACTGATATTTTGAATATTTTCAAATAATTTACAAAAATTTACAAAGTTGAGTTTATCTCTACACCGCACCTGCCTGTACATGGCATTTACTTTAGTCTGTGTTGAACCTACAGCTCAGTGGTGCCTGAGATACTGCCTATCCTCGCCGGCCAAATCCTATACTCAAAGGTTTAAAGAAAATAAAGACAGAAAGAGTGGATTTCATTAGTGAAGTAACACACATCATGTTGGATAAAAACGTAGGGCCTTGTTTGAGAGTGAGTGTAATAGATCCTTGCTAACAGTGGAGCTCAGAATAATATGATTTTTAAAGTTCTCCAAGCGAATGCTAACAGCATAGCAAAATTTGGCTGTGTTGTTATGTAGAGTGGACCCGCTTCACACTGGCAAATGTAACTTGTTGCCCAGGTGTTTCCTTTTGCATCGATTGCGCTCACACAAAGGCGTTGTGTGTAACTAGCCTTCTTTCTTTCACTCTTTCCATCTGCTGATACACAGATGTCGAGGTGTGCTGGCTGCCACACAAAAACGGCTCATCTAAACGAAAACAAAGACGCATATATTACTTACAACAGCGTGAAAAGCTTTGAACCACTGGTTGGCTTCAAAATGAACACAGGACCAGAAAATAACTGCAGCTGTTCAGAGAAAACGCAGTGAAGAGGAGCCTCAAAACAACAGTCACCACTCAAGAGATTGCAGGTGTGAAAATGTCACAATTCACACAAGATTCAGGCGGCAGAATGACACTAAATAGACTTTTTAAATATTTTTGTTTTGTTAAATGTCTGAAGGAGAGGTCAGAGGTCAAATGTGGCATGACATTTAAAATCTAAACTTTTTGAGTAATTGTTTTTACAGACAGAATGATACTAAATATCAAAAACAGTTTGAGGTTTTATTATCAAATGTTACCAGGAGTCTCAAATTTTATGTCATTGGCGTATTTTTGTGAACTTTAAATGCCTAAAGGGACAAAAATAAATAAATACATTTTCTTCTACTGCTAACCTGCCTTTGGAGAGCACTGCATTAGTATACAGCGTACATATGGAGGTACTGCAGGAAGATTTTACCATGATTCTGGTGTTTCAACAAAAAGCAGGACGAGTCTTTTGTCATTTTGTCGAGAATTAAATCCGTCGGTCTCTGCGTCTTATTTTAGAATAAATTCTGTTACGCGATGGCTTGCAGAGAGGATTAACTCTGTTCTTTTTGAATCATCCCTTTTTTCACCTCTGTCAGTCTGCTTTGCTTTCTGTCTGACAC